AAGTCTTTTATACTCATTTTAAAAGAATTTAACACCTCTTAACTTAAAATAATAAATAAGGAGTCAATACGAGGGAAGCTTAACGAGGAGTTAAGTTACTCCTAAGTCCTAACATAAGAAAATTATGTTACGAATGAAATCATTTTCCATAAAAAAAAAAAAAAATCGTCATTCTTATTCTTTTTTGTTTTTAATATTGAACTTGAGTAGTGTTATTTTTATTCATTTTTGTGTTTTTATATTGACAGCTTGATTAGCGTGTGATTTTGACAAGAAGAAATTGCGTTGCAAGATGAAATTGTTCAAACAGGGAGGAGAAAAAATGCAAGGCATGGTTGAAATTGGAAATGGAAATTGCAAGCAGGAAGCTGAAGAGCCGTTCTCTAGCTCCGTGCACTTGACGTGTACTCAAGTGCATGAGCATTCCTCTTCGCATTGATTCCCTTCATTTTTAAAATTTTTAAAATTTTAAAACAATTACATTCAGGCCAATCAAGACTCATCAAGCCTCATTGTATTTATTGAGTGCGGGTAGCATTTCTATTGGTGATCACTGACAACGATGGAAGAATTTCCGGAAGAACTAAATTGTGAATCACGAAGATGTTGGAAAACTGGTAATTCACAATTAGGTGTATTGGATAAGTTTGGAATTAATTGTTAGTCAAATAGGTTCTTTTTTTTTTTTGAAAATAGGTAATGAAGTCAAATAGGTTCTTGGTACTCTGAATGTGGATTTTAGGAAGATATGTTTCCTAATTGGATATATACAGGTTTGCAAATGCACAACCTACACAAGGTTCGAAATTTGAATTGCATTAGTATTGAATCTTGGATTTGTTTGATGCCAAACAGACGACACACCTATGTCACAGGATCTACATTTTCTACAACGAATAGCCAGAAAATGGAAAAAGAAAATGACATACGCCAGTTTCCAATATTACAACAAGAGGAAAAAAGAAAAGAAAAGAGAAGAGAAAATCTTCCTGTTGTTTGCCTTCCCTCGATCTAATTTTGGCTTTGAGGACATCAATGAAGGGAACTTACTCTCAAAATTGCAGGAAGAACTTGGTGATTCATAAACTAGATCTCCAGAAACAGCTTCCAAGTCCCCTTATTGCGCAGCTATATAGCTTTTTATATGCAGATGCCCAACGTGAAAGATTAATTTAAACCTAATTTGAGTTTTGTTCTTGTCAGGCCTGTAAAAGTGAATTGGAGAATAGAATCAGTACATTAAGGTAAAGAACTTTAAACGAGTTTTGACAAGTTTTAATGCCGATAAGCCCTAGCTATATAAAAAGGTTATGGGGTTTTTTTATGAATCACAAGAGCTTGATTGAAATCAAGGACTTACTGGTGAAAAAGGAATCTGTAGTAGAATGAGTGAGATAAAATATAAACACAGTGAAATAACTGCTCCAGCTACACAATTATAGAGCAGTCGTCTATTTTCCTTTGTTGGTATGAAAGTTGACTTGAGTGTATTTGTCAATTCAAAAAGACGATGAGATACCTGCAGAAGCAAGTCAAATCACGGGAGAATGAGGCAAAACTGAAATGTAATTGAGGCTTTTAGCAAAATACTGAAACGTCAAGACAGAATTTACTAACCAAGACATAAATGGCAGTTGTAAGCATAAAGTTGAGCAACGGAGATCCGGGAATAAGACAAAGAAGCCATTTAGGTTGTCCATTTGGCACGTTTGATCTGGACATATGAAATGTATAAGAATCCACCATCAAGTGGATTTCCTTTTTGGCTGCTTAATATAAAGTCTAAGTGTCTAACAGATTGTAGCATTATAAATATTCTGTGTGTTTTAATAAGGACAAGAAAATGATAGAAAGGTGGCAAATTTCAGATATAAGCCCTATATAATGAAATAAAAATTTGAAGAATGATCATTCTTCAAAAAGGTGGAGCAAAAACTCCAACCAAGGTTGACTACGCCTACAGCAGACCTTCATCTCTGGTTATAAAGAATTAAAATGGAAAATCAAATAGGTCCACAAACCTGAGCCAGATGTGGAACTGAGAAATGTAAGTCTCCAAAGTTATCTTGCCAAGCCACCTAAAAATAAAGACGTAATTAAAGCAGGCACAAGATAAGACAGAAAATCCATATTGCTCCAACAGGAAACAAATTAAAGGGTTTAATTATAAAGTTCGGAAACATACGCAAAGAGTGTCAAAGAGTAATTCCGAAGCTGCTGAGTGAAGTTCCGTAGGCAAATGTACACGCTAGAATAAAAAGAGGAGATCATAATCAGATACTAAAACTAGATTTTTGGACAACATACTCTGCATGCCTTAACCCCCAAAATTAAATTCCCCGAGTGTTCTTGTAAAAATAAAAAAGTATAGAGAAAAGTTTCCTTAATACGCACATTATGGGAATCCATGAAGTGTAGGGGTGATACTTGTTGTATGTAACCTTGTCCAACTTATAAATACACTCATACCACAGATAACCAACCTGATAGAAAAGGCATTAAGAAAATGCAAAAAGATCATCAAAAACTCCAGAATGCATCACCACAATTATCATAATTCAGGAAACTTACAAACAAGGAAACAGCGACAATGCTTGCTTTGATTGATAGCTTTTTCTTGGTTTCACATTCCTCTAATTTCTCCATCCATTTCTCAACCTAAGATGCCAAAAAATTTCAAAGAATTTTGTTATTCATGCACTAAGAGAAGACCTTTAGCCCTCAGGTAAATAAAAGTGCAACTTACATTGGGATGATAGTATGCATATATCATTCCAATGATCCATATGTAGCGATCAAGCCCAGATCTAAAATGCCACTCATGCAGTCGTGTTAGATCAGGCTTTGCAGGATCAGTATATCCTGCCATCGAAAAGCAAAATACTGATTAGTGATAAAAACCAATAGTCATAACTACATATGCCAAATCATGAACTAAATTGCTGTGCTGACAGGTCAAAAGTAGAAGCAGCTAGAAAGTCACTGACCTAATAGGAATGAGAAGGGACTCCAAAATAAGTCAAAAACTCCAGGAATTTCCCAAATCAGGATAACCACTAGAAAGCACGCAAGAATTTTGACAGCCATCACTGATGGTATCTCATTATACTTGTGAAAGATGCCAAGGGCTCCATATACCATCAGAGTGAAAAGTGTGTGCATTGGGCAGATGTAATAAAGCATATAGTCATTGTTGAGAACAATGCAGCAGAAAGCCACAAAGAAATTTAGCCGCCACATCATCTGCATCAAATGAATTTCTTAACCATCTAAGATTCCCAACAAATACAGAACTATAATTAGTCATGACTTGTTACTGAGAATTGAGAAATGATATAGTATGGTCCAGACTCCAGAGAGATTGTCACCTGGGCAAAGCGTGCAACGCTAAAGTCCTTTCTGATGTAATAATACGAGAAGTTGCCAAATCCAGTCATCCAAACATATGCAGCTATAAAGACACGTATTGCGTTGTATATCTCAGTTGCAGCAAAGTAATGGTACATTAGGAAGAGTACCTGTTCAAGGATTACCACACATGTAAAAGCAGCCCTTAGAAATGTTTTATCTGTCATGCAGAAAAGTGTAGAAAAGAATTAATCAAAAGCATGGAGCAGAACAAATAAGCCTCCCAAAAACCTGATACTGATGAATTGGTGCTGTGGGTCATATTTTGCAGATCTAATGAATGATGATTCAAATCATGGAGTATATCATATGATAGTCTTATCAACAAGTAAAAGAATATAAATCTATCAAGAAATAGATACCTAACACCAGCCGTGATTCTAAGTCTTAAAAACTTAAATCAATATCAAAGCTTTAATATCCACCAAAAAAGCTGTGACCAAACGGAAAAAGATGTTTCCAATTGTATGTGGCACATATAACACAACTAGCGAGTGGGAAACTAAAGCTCAAGGAATTAAACTTTACTGGTTATAATATAAATCTATCAAGAAATACCTGCATCCACCCTTTCCATTCTTCAGTCTGATGTCGACTAAGGTATTGCATTGTTTTTCCAGAGAATGCTGATTTGTCATTATGTTTCTTCAAAGAAGCCATGGCTGCAACCATGATGAGAAGAGCATAGAGAAAGAGGAAAAGATCGCGGTCGTATTTCTGTGATAGAAAACCAAGATAAAGCAATTCAAAGCAAAAAAGGTTAAACAACAATCAATCATAGGCCTAGTTACCAAAAGTAAACATAAAGTACAGAGCTTCCATCAATTATCAAACATAAGGCTGCTTCTAAGTTCTAACTAGTTAGAGAGAAGCCAAAACATTTAAACCTAATCAACCACTAGACCTGAAACTAGTTTCAGCCTTTTGGTTTCAGGTAAAGCACAGTGTTAATTCTGTTATCATCAACTAAAGGCAACAGGAGAAGGTGATTGAGAATTGCTGCCTGAAATTGGGATTAAAGATTATATCTGTTCCACCAGCTGGCAGCCAGACAAGGAAGAGAAATGGCAATGAATAGAAAGAGAAAAAGCTACCTACACTTATAGATGTTTAAATGTTTAAATTAACACTGAGCAGTGTTTCAAAAACTATATTTATCAATAACATAAACAAGGAAGAGATATAAAATCACCTTCGTAGATTCTCCTAGAAAATTTGTGCGGTCACTTATATAGAAATACAAGAGAATTGCCCCAAACTCAGACCTGCATAAGATTATATGGTTCAATATAAGAAAAAACATAGAACTTTTAAAGAAATGTCATTCCTGATAATATGACTGACATTGCTCTCAAAGTTAGTCGATGTTCCAGCAAGAAAGAGTCTTCCATAGTCAAAAACCTAGAAAAACATATAGAAGAAAATGTAAGGCTAGCATTAAAGACCACCATCACAGTGAAACACCATGAAATAACTGATAAACATAGTAAGCAACCTAATTAAGTTTGTTTTGACCGTTGAACCATAGAATTTAGCAGATGCTGATCTTGTAAGTCCTCCTTCCAGCAAAACAGCTCTGTCATCTTCTTTAATGGTCTGCCCTGCTGCTAATTCAACCAGATTATTGTCTGAATGGCTGCATATTGAAACTAAATTGTCAGCACCAACAAATGTAGGAAATCTTTTATGCCGATAAAGGTGATATGCATAATGATATTATTCTTTCCATTCTGAATAATTTAAAAAACTACAAAAAAGAAGATAAATTATTGCAGTAGTTCTTAAAAGCAGCTAATTTCTTAAAACTCAAGCCACTTATTTTACTCAGGGGAAATTAGAGAACTTCCACATTCAGAAAACTAAATAAAGCAAAACTATATTTCCACAATTACAGCAGAAAATCTTTATGCAACGTGATAACTGCAATCTCTTTTTCTCCATCCATGTCAAAGGGAAGAAACTTACACTTTGGAAAGAGATGCGGATTTCTTGTACTCTAAGAACTCTGAATATATCCATGCAATGAAAATTGGGATGATTCCAAGCAAAAAAGAGACCTGGAGCAAAATAATAATACAGCTTCATCGCAACGTCAAGCAGAATTGCATTAAACAAACAAGAATAAAGCACAAATTTCTTCAAATAAGAATAAACAATGATTAATACATACAGAAGAACAGAATTGCATTGATTAAGCTTAAAATCTCAGAGCAAAATACAAGTAAACACTCCAAGCACTCGAAAATAACGAAACGTTAGCATCGAATCAACATTGCCACGAAATGGAATTACACTTGAAACTCGTGATTAAACCGTACCTGTCCAGGCGTGATCTGCCTAGAAACCACCATTTTCGGATCCAAAACAACCACTCCAAACTGCGAAATTCGAAACAGAACCGAATCTAATCAATAAACAATCAGAACATTAGAATGGGAACCAGACATCGGAATCGAAGAAGGCGAAAGTACCAGAGAGAAAATGAGAGGTGGCGTAGAACAGAGTGATCCGCTAGGACATGGTCATAAATACGAAAGGAACCGTAACGGCAATGGAGACCGTGTAGAGATCTGCAAGTGAAGAAGCAAAACTCTTGCTTAAAGAATAAAGAAAATGGCGGACGGGACGTCGTTTTCAATCGGCGGTGGTAGTTGTGGCGCTGCAGCTACCATTGGTGGTGCTGGGTCTGGTTGTTTGGTTGTTCTTTTCTTTTCAGGTACGGTGAGGGAGAAGGAAACGATGACAACTGGTCTTCCTAAAAATTAATTAATTACGAACTTAAGCGACTTTTAACTACTCTCGAAGATTTTAAATGAAGAATTTTTCTAAGGACAGGCACGGATACTTTTTACAATAAATTTTTAATGTAAGAAAATATAGAAGCTAATATTATTTTTAACATTGAAAGTAGTTAATTTTGAATGTATTAAAAAATTATTTTTAATATTAATATTATGTGGATAATTT